ATAATTTTGTCTCTTGGGCTAATTACAAGTTAACACTGAATAGAGGATGGTATTGTAGCCAGTACAACACAGGTGCCCCACAAGATGTCAGGTGCGTGTCACATGCTTGGCTTCCCGAGCGGAGTGGAGAAGGGAAGAGTGTCCCCAGGATGATGAACGCTGGTGTGGAGCTGCTGAGTCCTCAAATGCTGAGATAGACCCTGAAGCCTGTGAAGACAAGGAGAAAACTGGAGACAAAGCACCTGGGCTCTACTGAAGCCCCAGCCTGTTCCCAGTCTGTGAGAACTGAGAGCCCCAGGGAGCCTGAGCTGCTGGAACATATTCCCTCTGAGCTTTAAGACATGATGAGAATAAAGAAAATAAGATGTTTAAATTAGGAAAAAGATGAAAAGCCTTCGGTTTCCTAGATACTATCTATTAGGCTTAAATACATCATCTTAGTTACTCTTCACTATCAGCAGCGGGATAGGTTATCATGATCTCCATTCCAAAGATGGGATGACTAATGTTCAGAGACATTAAGCAACATGCCCAAGGATGCACAGTAAGTAGGGAGTGAAGCAGGAGAGCAACCAAGGGCCACCTGATTCTGTAGCCCCTCACTGAAGCACCACACCACCCTGCCTCTGGAAGAGGGGAGCTCACTCTCTAAAAAGACAGACTTCCCACTAGAGGATCTCAGCAGAGGCATGGATGCAGAAGACGCTCTTGAAACATTAAAAGAGAATGAATGCCCTGTGCAGCGGAGCGAGTACTGGCAACATCCAGTGGGAGTAGCCGACGTACCCAGGATGCAGGGTGCTCTGGTAGGTAGAAATGACCACCAGGATGATTGTATCCAGGACGCCAGGGCGGGGTGGAGAGCAGGAGAGCTGACTGGGATATTTGAGTGAAGGTTTCATGTATGCACCCTCACACCCAGACACACACACACAGGCAGGCACACATGCACGCACGCACACACACACACACACACAAAGGTTTCATGTACGCACCCTCACACCCAGACACACACACACACAGGCACACACGCACACACACACACACACACACACACACACAGTTGACACATCTCAAGAGGATGGAATGTATCAAGCCTCCTCAATATGGACCCTCCTGGAGAAAGGAATAATTTGTTGAATGACCTGTGTTTTTGTTGTTACTGAAGTCATGGTTGTAGCGATTAGTGTTTCAAGTTCTTCCAGGTAGGAAAGCAATGCTTGTTGTTGGGTGACTTGCTAAAACAAGAGTCCCAGAAACCCTAGGTGGGAGCTTGGGCCAGTAGGTAGCCTCTGCTCCATCACCCTCAGCTTTCCAGATACTGTCCTAACAAAAGGGTACTTGCACAGCAGGGGGGCCTTCTACTGCTGTGATTAAACAAATCAACTTTGAAATCCCATTGGCCTGGGGTCAATTCTCTCCCCATTTGCTGAATAACTACATAACCTTAGATAAACCACTTCACCCATCAGAGCCTCAGTGCCCCATCTACGAAATGGCAGCAGTGGTCCTCAACCCCCCAGGCTGTGGAAGGCTCAACGAGATAATGCAGATCTAGCACTTAGCTTAGTGCATGACCCAGGGTGAACGCTAAGTAAACGGCAGCTTTTATTTTCATTAGAAGACCCAAGAGCATTCTAGCACAGAAACTACCAAACCCGCCACAGCCCCCAAAACGAGAGAACATCAAAAGCAGAGACTTTAAGATCAGTTGGAGATTAGAACCTATGCACTCCTCACATAAAACTAGGTCCAGATGTCGAGGCTAGGGTGAGACAAAAGTGCTGATCCTAATGGACATAATATTCCCAACCATCAAAAGTGAACAACTTAAGCAAACATTTCTGGGTGTTCATTAGAACTCAACAGGATACTGCCGAAAATTCAGGGGGAAGGGCAGAAGTTCACTGGAGTGCCCGCCGAGTCTACCAAAAGCCTTTTCCTACAGCTTGCCGCTCAACCACACATCCTGGTTTGAAAAAACACCATTTAAAAAGCCATCTGAGAAAATGTTGGCCAGGAAAGTCACTTTCCATAGATCAGCAAAGAAGAATCTAGTTTCTACAGCCAAAGCCTCTCCACTACTTCTCTCACCAATTAGTAAAATTGCAACCTTGATCTCAAAGCCAAAATCAACTGTTACCTCCCCACTTTTTAACTTTCTAGATATTATTATTATCCTTGCTTCCTACTGGTAGGGTTCACTGATATGATTATCTAACTCACTAATTCATGTTTTCAGTTGTCTGAATTCTCCTCTATCTCACCTATCTTAATCAATGATTTGAACCAATATATTTTTCAAAGCTATTATTTCCATCCCATTCCTTCTTTTTCATGCTATTCTAGGCCTTTATCTAAGTTGGGCTCTTCACTGTGTTTAACATCTTTGTTCTAATAATTTTGCTTCATATATATGTTTGGTTCCGTTTCTTTGCGAGATAATTGTACTCCTTAACTTGTACTCTCCAGGTGTCTTATTTTGGCCTGAGTGCATAGTCCCTCAAGGGTATCTGTTATGCTACCTAAGAAAGGGCTGAAGGTTGAACCCTAGTGTATCAGCCAGGGTATCAGCTCCTAGGAAAGAGAATGAGACAAGCCCTAGGATGGAGCTTCTGATCGCTCACTCCTTAGTCTTGCCCAGCAAAACATTCTTCTGGCCAAGACTTCACCTTTATGCCTTCAAGGGCAAACAACGTTGGGAGGAGTTTGGGAGAAATGAACATCCGTAGAAAGTCAATCACCCACTTACTTTCCTCAACTCTTCGCCCCAACAGAGCCTTTGTTCTGTCGTAATTTACACCTGCATCATGACTGTCTCCACAGTTGCAGGGGACACAATGATCGTCCCGAACCAATGGTGGAGGAAGACAAGGACAGGGACTGAGCCAGTTTTATCTAATTTATCTGAGCATATGCCCCTCTGCCCCAGGCTACAGCCACTTCCAACCCTACTCACGTCCTCTTACCCCCACCTTTTCGCACCCCAAAACCATAGCTCGAAGCAGCTTTCCACCTCCCCAGAGCTTTCTCCTAGTGTCTTGATGTTTGTATGTTGAGTTGGTTGGTTGCTATTGCTTTGTTTTACTTTTCGTTTTTTATTTCCTGTATTTCATTCTTTCCTCTATAACTTTTCCGGAATTGATTGGGGGTTGGGTTACAGGTGGAGCTCGGAGCTCATGCTAATTCGCCATCTTGGGAGGATATGGAAATCTCCTATAGAACTTTATATATACAATAAGACCCTACTTCTTGAATGACTTCAGAGAGTGTCAATCAGAAAAGATGGCTAAAGCCGGGAATTATTTTTTTAATGATGCATACATACCCTGAGTATTTTGACTTAAGAACAAAAAAACACACATCGATTTCTGAAATATTCTGCTATTGCTATTGAGAAGCAACCAGTTCATTTTTTTCTTCTCCTTTTTTTTTTTTTTTTTTTTAATAAAGAACAAAAAAAGAAAAAAGAAAAAGAAAGGAAAATACTGTAATGTGATGTTTGGGCCAAGGATTTTTCTTTGAATATTGATCTACTGATTGCAGTTCTACTTTATTATTCTGGCATAAATCACATTCATTTTACACTATCTAAGATACCCTATTTTTTCTTTAAAATGGAATAAGAACCTAAAGATGCTTATAGAGAAATTCAATTTCAGAATCATTCTAAACTTCGGATGCATTTTTGAATCCCACAACTATTGTGACAGTAGTATTTTTAAGCGTCGCACTTTATTGTAGTCTAGCTTTTATTTTAAAAAAAAAAACCTTTTTCTGCACTCACGTTTCATCAACTTTTAACATTTTAAAACATATTTTATTGGTAATTTAATTGCTTTAAATATAACTGGCTGAATACGTTTGGAAACAAATACAATTCCCTCTTGCTAAGAACACAGTGACGGGAGAAAAAGCATTGGGTTCTGAAGACTAACTAGGCCAACAGCTGTGACTACTTAGTGCAACTCAGGCATCGGTCAGCAAATGAGAGAGACAGAAAGGGAAGTGTGGACTTACTCACACCTGCCAGCCCCTCTGGCAAGAGTGCTAAATGGACATTAGCTAGGAGAGAGTCTAGGTACCCCTAGCAAGGTGTTAATAGGTTAATCAGTTAATAGGTTAGAGATCTCTATTCAAGACAGCCATGCCTATAATTTAAATACTTACCCCCTACTACGATTCAAGTACTTCTTTCTGGGCGTGGGGGGGGGGAAATGGTATACTAGGTGACTATCTTCTAGAAACAACTTATGTCAAACATCAGGGGCTGTTCCTGGGTGAGCACCAAAAGCCAAGTTCATCTCCTTCACGATGACACCGAGTCTACTCTTTCCACGCTGATCCTGCAGATTCCCATCTATTAAGACAGAATTCTCACCCTGGTTACTCAAGTAACACAATGCTGCTGCTAAACTACACTGGACACAGTTGCTTCCTTGCTGAGAGCAGGCCTCAACGGAGGGAGCCTGGAGAGCAGCCTTCCCTTCTGAGAGGCAGTGATAAGAACATAGGTTCCATGGTAGGTTAATGGGATGTTGGCAGGCCCTTCTCCATGGGCCTCTCACAGTGGACCCATGCCAGAGTAACCGCAGCCTCGAACCACGTCCAGCCCCTCGCCCGTGGGCTGTGAGCACTGAAGCGGGTTGTACAGTGTGGGGAGAAAAAAAAAAAGAACATGGATTCCAACTCCAGGTGTGCTGCTTACCAGATGTGTGATCCTCACAAGGTGCACAGCCTCTCTGAGCATTAATGTCTTCATATTAAACGACGGTTTATTTATTCAACAAATGTTAACTGCCTGCTACCTGTCAGGCACTGCGTTAGCTCCAGGCATCCATAATGAACATTGATCGTCCCTGCCATTGCTGAGCTTACGTCCTCAGAGGGGAGACATGTGTGATTCTGGATCGAGGCAAGTGCTCTAAGAGAAAGTTAGAGTATTACACAAGAGTATGGGAGAGACCAATGGAGTCTGAAGTGGTCATGGGTAATAATGACATTTACCTCAGAGATTCTCGTGAGGACTAGATGAGAGTGAGAGCCTGAACAGTGCCTGGCTCAAACCCAGAGCTTCGTAAACAGTCTACTTCTGTTATTCAGCCCAGGAAGACGTCAGCCTTAGGGGGCTGACATGTGTACAAACGTCACGTTTCCCATTTGACATGCCATTTCTGTCCCGTGTTTCTGTGATTCATTCTATCTCAGAGCCAGCTAGGGGTAGGAAACCAGCTCCTCTCACAGAGAAAATGGAGAGGACAGCAGAGAGGTTGATTGTGTTTCAGGGGAGCCAATAAAGGAAGGTTTTAGAAAAATCCTGCTACTGCGAATGAGAGGAAACCAGTCCACTTTCTTTTATATCATTAAAAAAGGAGGAAAGAAAAAAGGAAGGAAGGAAGAAGGAAGGAAGGAAGGAAGGAAGGAAGGCAGGAAGGAAAGGAAGGATGGAAGGAAGGAAGGAAGGAAGGAAGGAAGGAAGGAAGGAAGGAAGGAAATGGAAAACTAATACTGAATAAATGGGCATGTATGTCCTTAACCAAAGAACTCTTGGTGAGAAGAGCTCTTTGAGCAACTTGAGTAAGAATATAAATGGAAAGATCTCAATCATCTCCATTTACAGCCTTTCCAAAGTTACTCTGGCCATTTCACCCTGCCTCAGGGTCCAATGAATCTATGTATTCTCCAGAAAGGGACCTCTTCCCTGGCTTTGCAGCCCAGGTAGTTAGTTGAGGGAAAAAAGTGGTTGTGGGGGGTGGGGAGGGTGGAGACTAACATTCCCTTCTCTGTATTTTTCTTCTTTTTCTTTTTCCTAATCTAGAGGAGATTATTTGAACTGCAAAATTTCAAGGCTAGGAGAGCTCCAAGAGATCATCCAATTTAGCCATTTTCAAATAATTTATAGCAAGAGAACACTTCTGTCAAGTGAAATTTTATCCAAAATCTTAATGCAGAAAATGAAGACATAAAGTAATATTTTTCATATAAATGTATTATTTTAATTTCAAGTTATCTGTTGATGAGTTTGCCTGAGCTTCCTTTGATGGATCCAACAAATTACACTGTTGAATTCTGCATAATATTAGCAGATCTTAGCAGATTATGAATTCTGCATAATATTAGTCCCATATTAGCGTCAATACCTGATTGTTGTTGTTGCTGCTATACACTTGCAAGAAAATTCTGATTTTCACAATCAGGCAATTTGCCAGTAATTACAAATTGCCGCTAATCTTTTATGTTGCAAATGAGATAAACTCAATTTAACTTACATTAAGGGGGTGGGGTTAGGGAGTAGAGAAGAGCATTTATCAGCTCACATGAAGAAAAGTCAAGGGCTTCAGGTGCTGAGGCCGTGGCAATCTCTCCATCTCGCCCCTCCCCACCTCCCAGCCCTGATCTCCCTAACGTGGCCTTACTCTCAGACAGCCTCCCTGTACTGGAGCGAAGGATGGCCCCAGAAGCTCTAGCTTACATTACAGTTAAAGCTCATCATCCTAGAGGAAAAAGAATGCTCTTCGTCTCCCTAAAATCTGGAGAAAATTCCAGAGAAGATACTGATGGAGCAGTCTTAGGACATGTGACCTTCTCAGGAGGAAAGACTTCAGGTAAGGAAATGGGAACTCTAACAACTAACAATCACTCACATTTCTTAATTATTAAGTATTGCCTTGGTGGGGGGACGGAAGGGATGGATTCATGAACAAGTCCTCATCTAATTTAGATTTTCCCTCTTTTGAAAAACCAGAACACTTTTCAAATATATCTTGAAACATTCCATGACATTTCTAATTATTAGACATCTCAATTCCTGTTCTGTTAGATATTCATGAAAAACTTAAAAACTACCTAATTTGTTTTGAATGTTGAGTCTAAAATGTAATCTTCCGATTACTTAAGGAAGCTTTAGCTATCCCGTAGGCACAGAAATGTGAGCCCCACATTGCCATATTGAAACCATTCTGCTTACTAAACTCAGAACTGTAACAAAAACTTAAATACAGAAATGATCTATGACATTATATTGTCACAACTCAGCATGTTTTACGTTCTACTGTTACTACCCAGCTGATCTATTAAGTTATGACAGAGCCTCACCCAGCCTGTACTTGGGAATGGCCTGCACATGTGTGAAAAGAATTTATACATTTGTACGGTTTTAGGCAAGTAGATGAGTGCTGGCCTAAATGGTTTCTAAATATTAGTCTAACACCCTAGCCCCATACGTCAACGAGATTTCCACAAGAATTTTAAGTACATGCAGAGCTCTGGTCCAAAGTCTGCATAAACCATACAACATACATTAAAAAGCAAAATGGTGGTGTTCCCAATTTACTACATTGTGGTATATAATACATTTGAGTCTATTGATTTTATAGTTCTTTTTAATCAATTGTATTGAGGTATAATTAACATGCAGTAAAATGTGCCCATTTTAAGAGTATACTTCAGTGAGCTTTCTAGATAATTAAAAATTTATTTTTTAAATGATATTCTAGATGATAATCTTCCCTGGGATTAATGTGATCAGGTATTTTTAAATACATGAAGTTATAAGAATTAGAACAGTTTTGTACTGGAGCAACCTGTTAGTTTGCTAGGGCTGCCTTAACACAGTGCCACACCAGGTAAATATTTATCATCTCAGTCCTGGAGGCTAGAAGTCTGAAATTAGCTGCTGGGAGGGCCATGCTCCCTCAAAAGCTTGTTGGAAAAGGATCCTTCCTTGCCTCTTCCTGGCTTCTAATGGTTTGTGGGCAATCTTTGCCATTCCTGGCTTATAGATGCATTCAATCTTCTTTACTGTGTAGCTGTCTTCCTTCTATTCATGTGTCTATGTCTGAATTTTCCCTTTTTATAAGAATACCAGTTATATCGGATTAAGACCCACCCTAATGACCTAATTTTAACTTGACTACCTCTGGAAAACCCTATTTCTAAATAAATAAAGTCACATTCTGAGGTACTGGGGGTTAGGACATCAACATCATCTTGGTGGGGGGGGCGGTGCACAATTCAACCAATAACCACTGTGAATAAAAGATGGCGTAGAATTTTATCAGAAATTGACCCAAACACATGAAAAAAAAAAAAAAGAATATGATAAATGTGGCCTTCCAAACAAGTTGAGAAAAGATGATTACTCCATACATGGTATCTGACCAACCGGATAGCCCTCTGTAGTAGCAATAATCAACATCATCTTGGTGGGGGGGTGGTGCACAATTCAACCAATAACCACTGTGAATAAAAGATGGCGTAGAATTTTATCAGAAATTGACCCAAACACATGAAAAAAAAAAAAAAGAATATGATAAATGTGGCCTTCCAAACAAGTTGAGAAAAGATGATTACTCCATACATGGTATCTGACCAACCGGATAGCCCTCTGTAGTAGCAATAACTAAGTTGTATCCTTCACACCTTGGCCCTGATCACTTTCCAGGACCTGGTTCTAGTCCTTGGAGAGGCCTCACTGTCCCGGGGTTCCATAAAATACTTCAGTATCCTTTCAAATAAATTTACATTTTTATAAGGACTGGCTTGAGTGGGTTTCTGTAGCTTACAATCATTTCAGAGGCCAATGGCCTCATAACTGGAGATTCCTTGTCACAGTGAGAAGTTTACATGTTCTTTATAAAACAACAACAACAACAACAACTATCTTCTCTGTCACCCTGCCTCCTTCCCAATTACATCTGGTTTCTCGCCTCTGGAAGGAGGCTACTGGAAGTCAATCGGTTCCTTTGGCATCATCCATCATTCTGGGCCGCCTAGGAGAAGTGATCGGTCAGAGCAGAAGCTGTCCTTCGAGGGCCACTAGGAAGTCTGCAAAGCCACCGAACATCGCAATCTTTTAAAACCCAGACATCAAAGTATTTGGATGGCATCCAGAGTTTCCCACTTCCCTGCGACCTCTTTCCAGAAAAGAATCAAATTGTGGGCAAGAGGGGAAACCACCTTAATTGGACCACCAATTCCCAAAACTGCTATTGGTCCTTACTCCAGAAAGGGGGCTCCTTGGAAGCTGGCGTGTTCAAATATTTTTCTGAAAGTTGGTGAACTGGCGGGCAGTGCTAAAACCAGACAAAGCATACTTGAAGCCAGAGGCTCTCTCTCTTCCAGGTTTCCTCTTACATTGCCTGGTTTTGCTTTTCAAATGGTTAACAATAGCTCCCATTTACTGGGCCTTATAATGTGCCTTGCATGTGTACAAAAAGACTCACATGATTACATTATTGAATTCTCATAATATCCCCATAAGATAGGTTCTATTCCTGTTCCCGTTTTACAAATGAGGAAACCGAGGCTCAGAAAAGTTTAGTAAATTGCCCATGCGCACAAATTTGGGGAATGACCGAGCTCAGATCTGAACCCAGGCTTGTCTGACTCGAGCCTGTGCTCTTAACTACTACTCTGGGAATCTCAAACCAAAATGTCTAAGGTCGATGGGTGAAAACAGAAATGAGTGGCACAGATCAGGGGTAAGACATGGGGAGCGCTAGGCAGAATGGTGAGCTGGAGAGCCAGCATTCCATCTCAAGGAGGCACCAGCCCCTGCAGCAACAGCCAGTCATAGTTCTGCAGAAACGTGACCCAGTGTGGCCAGACTTTCCATTTTCAAAGAGAAGCTTGAAATCTGGATTTTATATGAAATC